AAATTTAACAAGTATTAGAAAGTTGTCTTGATAAACAACCAACACCAGCAACAAAGTCAAATTTATAGCAGAGGTAATATGCCCCTGGAAAAAACAATACAGCCAAAAATTTCTTCTCATAATACTTTAAAGTGCCCACATTTAGCCTAAATATGCCAAGCATCCACAGTTTCTTTCTCAACACAAAAATTACACAGTTCTCTTGAATAATTATTTAAGAAATTCAGTGAATTACACCTAGCCTATAAAGAAAAAATAAATTAGTATCAGTGACTGTTGTATCTGTAAAATAAATGATTACTATTAACATATATAATTAACTTTATTATAATACAAATGTAACTTTGTGCCTCCAGGTCTAAGTGTTACAACAGCTAATGCATGACTGACCAGAGACAAAGGAACACGACAAAGGCCAGAGGTGTGAGGTCACCTAACTAGGTCAAGGGGCAATTCAGTGTGGGTAATCCCCTGGAGGTTTATATACATAACAATTCTCCCATGCTTAATAAAATGTTTAAAATTTGTTTGTTTAGAGATTTAAGTGTTGTACTGGTCTTCATATGTGCATTGATCATCGAGGTTCCATTTCATTTGTGTTTGTCATTGTTTGGCTAGATTCTTCCTCCTTCTCTGGGGGCTGGTCAGAAGTTGTTTTTGAGATTGTCTCCTTTTTGTTGGGTAAAGTCATTACAGTTCTTTTGTTGTAGTTAATTGTGCTTGGGTGTGGACTAGCGCTAGCTGGAGATGAGTCTCTATTGTTTACTAAGTCATTGCACCTGTTAATTTTCTTTTTGTTGAAGTTGAATCTTATCTGAATAGGATTTGTCTGTTTGTTAATTTCACACAGGTGTAGTTGATCATAATGCCTTTTTATTATGTATCCATCATCGAGTTCAGCTAAGTAATGTACACAACCTAGTCATTCAGCTACGATACCATATTTCCAAGGACTGGACATTGTATAATTTCAGGATTGTGCACAATCTCCCATGTGATAAAATTTGTAGAATTTCGGTTGTTTGGCTATGTTTCTTTGAGAGGCTTGTGCCAGAGATTTGAGCAGATCTAATTTTGTTCTTACTGTATGTCCTAATAAGTTTTCTGCTGGGCTTTTCCCATTAGATAACGAAGTCGCTCTATACCAGAATAGTAGTTCATGAAGCTTCTGATGTAAGGTACCACTTTTATACTTCATACATTTGAGGCATGTGTTTAAGGTGTGACAGTATCTTTCAGCCTGGCTATTTGTGGCTGGATGTCCTGGTGCTATTAAGCTTTGATGGATTCTGTTTCTTGAACAAAACTCTTGAAATTCTTGTGACTTAAAAATACTTGCATTATCACTTACTAAAATCTCAGGTAGACAAATTGTGAGGTCAGCCGATTAGGGGTGAAGTGTTTTCGACAGCCGAGCGGTCATTACTGTCATGTGGGCGTGGAATGATTCACCGAGACAGGTTTACCATATAAAACCGTTTAATAAAATTATAATTTCTTACAATCTTTTCTTGAGTGACGGATTATCACACCACGGAGCATGAGGATAAAGTTCAATAGAGTTCGAAAAGTTCGTTTTCCCATTTCCTGCTGTTTGGCGACGACAAACTAATAATTGTCGGCCCCAGGGCAAATGGCACTGCTTCCGGTGGTCTTTCTTGGACGAACCGACGAGCCTGGAGGTCGTCCGGTGGCACGGCAGATGAGGTTGCTTCCACTCAATCCGAAACGTTCTTTCCAAGATTCCACGGGGACACACACATGTCCAGGAAAGTAAGACTATGAACCAAGAACGTTTGTAACTTGAATCGCACTGTTTTATAGATTCCTCAACCTCAGCCACCTTTCCATTGGTCTCTCCTTGTCACCTGGTGACAATTCGAAACCCCACCAAAGGGCGCGGGAGAGGTCAACGTTGCGTCAGAACACAACTCTTCTACAACCTCATTTTCCTCAACTTTACTCTATCTATTGTTTAAAATCTTTTAACAAGACAAAAGGTTCATTGTTTAAATCTGATCTTTAAGTTTGCTCTTTTGCGCTACGAAACTTGACTCATTTAAATAGTCGTTAGTGGCCTCCTTTCGGACCCCGTTTGGGTCCTCACAAAATTGACCAAAGACTTCATGTAGAAAATGAATTGTGATGGATGTGTCTGGTGCTTTCTTTGTATAGAATATTTCTGGCCATTTTGATTTGGCATCAACAACAATAAAGAAATAATGATTCATAAATGGTCCTGCATAATCGATGTTTATATATTGCCAGTTTTTTGTAGGCATTTCTCATTTGTGTATTGAAGGCTTTTGTTGGGTTTTTCTTAAGGTCACAGCACCTTTGCAACTTTTAACAAATTCTCGATATCAGAGTCAATAGTATGCCAGTAACAGTAATTTTGGGCTAGGGCCTTCATTCGAACAATTCCTATGTATGTAGAGTGTAGCAGGATTGCTCTTGCAGGATTGCTGGCTGAAACTTCTTGGGATGATTACGCAGTATCCTCTAAACAGAATGCCGTTGTGTGTGGATATTTCTGGGTTGTACATATGGTCATTGACAATGTTGTTTTTGATCTGTGATAGTTCTTTGTCAATTGATGATTCTCTTTGAATGTCCTTGGCACTGATAGTTTCAGTTGAGTTATGTTTAACAACAGTGCCATGATACATATCATCATGGTCTTCTGTCAGGGCTTCTTTCCTTGTTAAGGGTATAGAGTTCCATGACAAGTAATTGGTATTTGTATGTTCAATTGACTTCCTATATTTGATGGTGTAATTGTGCAACTGGATGTGGTGTGAGTTGTGCAACTGCTTGTTGACTGTGACTTTATAGTCGGCACAATTTTGCACTGTCCTATCAGGTTTCAGGATAACGACTATGGATGTTTTTACTTCTGTTGATGAAATGTTGTTGTCCTTAGTTGTGTGGCTGAGTTCATTGATGTCAATCTTTAAACTCCGAATCCAATCTCTTCCTACTATTGCATTTTTTTGGAAGGGAATGACATACAAGTCCTGTATACTGTAGTTACCATCATATTTAGTTTTTACTTTTGCTACTCTTAGGGGTTTGAAAATATCATCTGTGTAACTTCGAAAGGTCACTTCTGTTTTTGCTACAGGTGCACATTCAATTGTAAGTGATTAAATTCATCAATACTGATGATGGTTATGTGACTGCCAGTGTCACATTCAAAATGGACTTTTGTACTGTTAACATAAATTTCTGTTAGGAGTCTGTCATCAGTTTTTGTTATATTAACAAATATGACTAGAACACTGTTTATATCAAAGTCAGATACACGTTCGTGATTAATATTGTGGATGTTATGATTCCTGTTAACTGTGGACATTATGATTCCTGTTAATTGTTGACGTTTGTTTCCTTAAGGATAATATGCATATTTTTCCTGTATGTCCTTTTTTAATGACACTGTTCACATTTCAGCCAGTCTTTCACTCTACAGTTTATTAATTTATGGTTGTTTTTTTCGCAATGTAAGCATAATTCTTCTAAATAAAGTTCTTTAAGGTTAAGTAGGTTTCCACTGCGATCTCCTATTGTGCTTCTGTTCCGATTTGATGGTTGTTTGCAGATGTGAACAGAGTTTAATTTGAGTATTTTTGGTAATTTTGTGAACAAGATGGTTACTTTTATATACTTCGTCATTTTCAATTTTAGAAGCTTCTATGGCTAATGCAATTTCTAGCATCTGTTCGTAGGTTAGATCAGTTTGTTGTAGAATTTTCTTACAGATGTCGGAATCTTGTAAACCACTTATGAATTGTACTCTTAACATTACATCTATGATGGTTTTTATACAGTCTGCATTGTTACAACTAGACTTGAAATCTGCACTTTTCGAGAGTTGTTTTAACAAAGTCATGTAATTTGAAATGGACTCACCATTATGTTGTACTCTGGACAAAAATTTATGCTGTTCTGTCAGGATATTTCATTTTGGTGTTAGGTGATTTTGTAGCAACTTCATTAATTCAGCAAAGGTTCACCTAAAGGGTATTTTTGATGCTGTTAGGTTGGTCAGTAGCTGATAATGTTTTGGTCCAAGACAATTGATTAATAGAGAGGTTGAGGCGCACATTTTAAACGTGTAAACGTGTACGTGTGACGTTCGGCGCCGCTTTCCCGTAAGCCTAAAAGTTTGACGATGGTGTTTGGAATGTCGAGCGTGATTCCACCGACTATCCAAACACCATTGTCAAACTTTTAGGCTTACGGGAAAGCGGCGCCGAATGTTACACGTACACATTTACACGTTTAAAACGTGCGCCTCAACCTCTCTATTATCATTATCTTAGCTTCTTCAGTAATGGTGTCTGTTCCGGTTAGTCCTTTGATTTTGAAAAGTTATCCAGTCATTGGGAATAGTTTTCAAAGGTCTTGGAATTTTGTCATAAGTTTCAAAGGTTAGAGTTTGTGTTTGAGAACTCATTGAACTGATAGTTCTGGTTTTGTCTCCACTGACTGACTCTGTAGTTTCTTGATAAACACATTTACAGTTGAAATTAATTCCATAAGTTCACTCATTTTTTATATTTTTTTGTCCTCCAATTTTATCCTTATTGTATTTTATTGTTGTCAATTGTTGTGTTTGAAAAATAAACAATTACTTGTTAACGTATATAATTTACTTTAATGTAATACAGATGTAACTTGGTGATAATACAAGCATAAGTTTATGTCTCCAGTTCTAAGTGTTACAACAGCTAATGCATCACTGACCGGAGACAAAGGAACACAACATAGGTCAGAGGTGCGAGGTCACCTAACTAGGTCAAGGGGCAATTCAGTGTGGGTCAGGTTGTACATACATAACAGTACACAGCACTGACAGATGCTCTCCAGGTTTAGATACTTACAAAACCTCACAATAATAAATATATTAATTAAAATTAATATAGTTATTTATTTAAACATCTTAAAATAAGTTATTTTATTTTATACAACTTGAATAATTTGAAATTTGTATAATACAGGTAACTGGGAATATTTATGTAATAAATTTCGAAAAATCCTAATAGTTAGATGTCTTCGCACTGATCGTATTATACAATGTATTAAAGATCTTATATCTTCAAATCTAGGAAATGAGTAAGTAATATATATAAATAAAAGTTTAATGGTTTATGTATTATTTAAATATATTTATTTTTTAATTTATACTATTATTATACATATGTACAAGATTTCTTCTCATTGGGAAAACTAGGAAAAATCAGGAAAACTCTTATATTTCATATAAACTATCTCATACAAAACCTTTTTAACTAGTAATTGAACTTTAACGTAATTTCTGAACGTTTTCGGCCTTCACCAAGGCCTGTCTCAGGTGTTTAATAACATTAACTTGAACTCAGGTGTTTAATAACATTAACCAAAAATTGGAACAGTAGAATGATGATGCTCAACTTTAAACTATGAATATATCAAATTCATGCAGTTTATTGACTTCATTTGAATTTCTCATACAGGTACTTCCACACATGCACCACCATCTCACTGTCTTTAAAGTTAATATAGTTGCCTTTCAAGTTGGCTTTATAAATTTCCTAAGCCTCCAGGCTACGGATATGGTCTGTTTGAAAGGCCTGCCTAATTAATCTGGTGTTCTGGTGCTCAGCATGCACTTCTGGGTCTATGGTGTATGTGGACAAGGCAGTGGTGTCCCTGTTGTTTGCAAGGTCATATTGATGTTCACATACCCTTTTATGTACTGAATATTTGGTTGAGCCAATAATACTAGGTAGTTTTGGAATTTATCATCCCTAAAAGGAATAGAATACACTCCTGAGACTCTGCTTTGATCCATTTTATCTTTTACATTGTGTAGCAGCCTGTATATTGTACTAGATCTCCTGTATGTGATTTCTATACCACTCTGGTTTCCAATATCTTTGTATAAGGAGTTCAAATGTTGACTGAACTGAACTATGGTGCACCTGAAGCCTGGCTTTTCCCTCTTGTCCCAAATCTGGTTTATATCTTTCAAGTACCTTCTTTACTGTGTCCAACTCTGTTCATATATTGGCTATTTTTATTTCCAGCTCATCCAGCTACTCTTCCCATTTTCACTCCTATCCCACCCTGTCCAGTAAATTCCTGCTCCATTTGTATTGTTCCTAAGAGAACTGGTTTGATAGACTGTAGAGGTCAATCAAGGGCAAACAGAAATTTGGAAGAAAAGAAAAGAGTTTTGATTTGGATACTCAGGAGAAAATACATTGAACTGAGTGATAGTTTATCCTGGAAAATTTGTGTATGTATTTATATTAAAGGAAAGTTTATTTCAAGATTGATAAAGCAGATCAGACTGAAATTTTTAGACTTTTTGAAAAGGAACACTGTCAAGCTTGAAAATCACAAGCACTTGAACAGAATTATTTCCTATTGTAGCTTTCTGGCAGGTGTCTTCACGACTGTGAGATATAAAAATCATTACTATTTTGATAAGTTTAATAGAGAGGAATATGAATATCTTTATTTTCGTTGTAAAAGTTTGAAATCACAAGAGTTCTGTGAATTCTGTGATGTCCTCTACAAGAAAATCATAAAGATGTGTCTGTTAAATGGGGGTTAAATTGCTGTTGATGGTAGCCTATATTGAGTCTATACAGTTCGCTTAAATCATATTTTCTGTCAGAAGAGAAGCCAGGCCATAGAGTTGAAAGATTGAGAAATCTGTTTGAAGACCCAATGGCTGAGATATATTTGCTCTTTTTTCATGCTACATTACCATTGTTCATTACTTTCATAAAAAGACTGGAGAAAAAATTTCCTTTATGTATATCTTAAGTGACCTAATGACTGATTTTCTGAGAAAATTGATAGGCATGTTCATGCAAGGTACAAAATGCTGATTCAGTCACTTGCCAATTGAAAAGAGAGAAACAACATGAAAACAAATATTTGTTCGTAGGATTTTCAACAAAGCAGGAAATTGATTTTTTCTTAAATAAATTGTGATGTTTCCAACAGGACAATTGAGAAGTTTCATACAGCTGTACAACAGTTCTTCATGGTTTTAACAGAGTATTTGCAAAAATACTTGCTATTTAATAATGAGATTGTATTCAATAATTCTTTTGTGGATGTTAAAAATGACAGCAGTGAATTTTTTCAGGTTCAACACTTTTGTGACAGATATAAGTGTATTCTTAATTACTCTTTTACTGATTATGCAACATTATATGATGAACATTTAGCATTCAAATGCAGGCAAAATGAGTTGCCAAGTCAAGATAAAAACAGTGAAGAAATTTGGTGTTCTCTTTTTCAAGAAAAAGACTGTAATGGAAAATTGAAGTTTAAAAAGTTACATGCAGTTGTACAGATTGTACTGACTATCGCACATAACAACAGAAGAGGAATCTTCAGTGTGATGAGGCAATATATAACTTAATTTTTGGCCAACTGCAAACTGTAAAAAACAATGTCTTTGCTAGTGGCTTGCAAACTTAATTAATTATCTGATGGTAAGAAGTGCCATTCATTATACTTTAATGAGAACTATATAAAAAAAATTCAGAAAGCAACTATGTTGTGTAATGAACAATATTCCATATCTAAAAAATGAAAATGAGGATATGGAATATTGTTACATTAACATTTGAGTATTTTTTATAATCTTTCATTCTCTGTTATATTATCTTATGAATATGAAAGATCTGCTTTCATATTCATGTTTTCTAATCTCTGTAACCAGATTATATTGTCATTTTTTCATTGATAAAGTTACAGCTGTTCTGGTAGCAGATTAATGTATTAACTTTTTCCTCCTAATATTAGCAATTTTGGACCCCAAAGTCAGATTTTTCAGAATCTGAAATTTGGAAAGCATGAAATCTGAAAAAGAATCTGAATCTGAAAAAGAATATTTATTAATATCAGTTTAATCAGTTTTGCACAAATTGAAATTTTATCTGTCATCTTAGGTACAGTACTTTAATATTTAAAAAGTTTTTATTAGTAAAATCTTTAATTATGTGTTTCAGATTTATGGAACCATGTTCTGATAGTGCATATAATTTTTCTTCACCGATAAAGCCATTATTGTTTATCCTGTCTTCACAAACTGTAAGTGTAAATTTTAATTTAAACTTTTTCTGATATAAAACATTTAAATTTATATTGATGAATTTGCTTATTTTAAAATTTTTAAAATAAACTTTAATAAGTTTATTTTTAAAAATTATTCAAATAACAAAAATGGCTACAGATTACTTCATGATAAATTTTTCTTTGTATGTTAATTACTATGTATATTTAGTTTTGTTGGCTTAAAATAGTATTATTGATTTGTTTATTAGAATTATAAATAATTAATTAATTATTACTATATATTTCTATAGAAGTAACAAAACATATCTAGGGAATACAAAATTTAATATTAACCTGAAATAGCTTTGATTTTATATATTTAGCTGTATGGAGCTTATTTAGCTGTAATACATTAGGAAAGATATATATGAAAATATTACTTGATATATATTTTAAAACTTGCTTCCAGTNAGACAGGGTTTAACATAACATATTAATAATATTTTAAACCAATTAGAAAAATAACATTAACTTGTCAAAACAAATCATACATTCTTTACAAGTACAGGTAACTCTCATATAACACCGTAGTTATGTTCCAAAAAAATGCCATGTTATACAAATTCATGCTATACAAAACAAAAGAGTAACATAAACATGAGGTGAGGTTCCAAAAGTTAACAAAAGTATACTAGTCTTTTTGTTACTAAGAAATATTTTATAGATGACAAAATAAAAATATGTTATTAATCAAAAATTTATTCTAGTGAGTCATGTTTGTTTAGTCATTATTATACATAAATGTTTTAACTATAATTTCTGTTGTCAAGTTGACCATGTCCAATTTGAACATGTTAAATGATGTCAATTGTTATTTTTACTTAGGCATATCTTTTATTTTACTGTTTTTAAAATGAAATTATTTTGAAAATTTTTTATTGGAAAATTTCTCTATTGATATCAATAATTCTTATTTTAGGATCCAATTAGCGTTTTTGAAAAAGAAGTTCAAAATCATCAGTTAATTAATTCATATGAAATCTTATCTATGGACCAGAATACATTCTTAATTGCTGAGCAGTTAATTGAAGAAGGACTTAAAATGGTTAAATCTTAGATAACATATAATGTTTAATTATATTGATATTTTTTATTGTATTTATTTGTATTTTTAAATATAACAATTTAGCTTTAATATAACAATAATAAGTTAAGTATTATTCCGCTATCATTAAATCTATTTATGACCAGAGCGTCGGCACCAGATCGGTGATGCCTATGTCAGGACTGACAGGTAGTTAGTATTGGAAGGTTTAGAAAGCTTTACTCAGAGGTATTTCCTTTAAGGGGATGAAAGGAAGTGAGAAGATGCTAGACTGGAGGAAAAGTTGTTGGTGGCAGAGGTCAAAGGGGATGAAGATGCAAAAGAGAAATAAGAAGAGGAAGGGGAGGTCTTGAGCTGCACTGGTTACTTTATTTTAGACACAAAGCATGTTACATAATAGTAAGCAAGTTAGACATTCATAGTTATAATGGTTACATAATGTCACAAAATCATGGCTATACAATGGATGTACTGTACAGTGTTTAAATAGTACAACAAAAAGATGGTGAGTTACATAACTCTCTCTTGTAATTCCATCTTGTTGTTTACCTTTCTGACAAATAATTTCTATAGTATTTGCGAGACTGTTGGATGGGCACTCGTTAAGTTTTGTGTCTGGGTTTATTTACAAAAGGTGAAAGTTTAACTGTCCCATCGGATATTCATTAACGTTTTAATACCAAGTTTCGAATTTCATCCGGGCCCTGCATTTAAATAATTTTTTTATGGACTAGTTGATTTCTGTTCTCTGAATTTTTGTAAGTGCTTTTCTGAACTTATTATTTAAAAAAGAAACTGATGATATTATGGAGCATAAAAAGAGTAGAGTGTCAAGAACTGTGCTCACCATAAAAACCAAGTAAGAGATAATAGTCAAGGTAGAAAGTGGGCACAAGATGTCTGATTTTGCTAGGCAGTATGGCTTGAACAGGAGGTCTACAGTAGACACAATCTCAACTATGGAAGGTATATCAAGAAGTCTCAAGCTGTTAATGGAGTAATGAAAATTACATCTGAGAAATAAAGAGCATTTTAGAGCTCATAATGTAACCTGAAACTGATCTGACAACAGAAGAACTCCAGGGATGTCAGAACAACGATCATCCAAGTGGTATCCAAACCAGAATAAGGCTAATGGGGTTGGGGATCTCTATAACTACAATACTATTAATTACTTCCAAAAAATTCTGAAGAAAAGAGAAAAAGCAATTGACATTGGACAGATTCTTTAACCCCCACAAATGGAAAAAACATGACTAATAAAAATGCAAGACTGCATATATATATATATTTTTACTATTACATATAAATAAACGTAGTAAAAAAAAAAAGCAAATATTTTTTTATTTTTTGGAGTCTCCAGAATGAATTAATCAAATTCCCATAAAAACCTATGGTAAATCGATAATCGGTTTACGAACAATTTGGATAACAAACAAGGTCTTGGAACGGATTATGTTCTTTAACCGATCACCCACTGTATATTGGGAAGAGGCACAATATATAAAAAAATAATTTTAGAAAAGGGAGATAACCACATCATTAAAGGTTTTATTCAGTTTTCAAGAATTAAAGTTATCATTAGGAATGAGAGAAATGAAGCTGCTGAAAAGTAGACATGATTACAATTTTTTATTAAGAAATGACAATTAAAAATGTGCATGGTGTATCAAATTGATCAAGTGTTCCTGATGGAAGGTTAAGAATCTAATGCTAAATGTACATTGCATGAACAATAAATATGTTCAATTTTACATGCATTGAAATATTGAAAAATGGAGAAAAATCTTTAATCTTCTTTTACATTCTATGCAAATTACTCTCTAGTGGTTTTGCTCATATTACCAATGAAACTGTTTGAAACATTTACTAACACTCTGTGCTTTCTGTGTTGCTGTTATTTAATGAAAGAGCATTGAATAATGTAATTACATTGAAATTTATATTTCATTTTATATTCCAGGGTAAATGGATATTTTTAACTAATTGCCACAACTGTTTACATTGGATGCCTGAACTAAATAAAATAATTGAGAAGTTGCCTGAATCAAAATATCATCATCATTTTCGTCTGTGGCTTAGTACAGTACCATATCCTGATTTTCCCATATCTCTTCTTCAGAAATGTGTCAAAATCACAACAGAACAACCAAAGGTATTATTATTTATTGATAGATTATGCTCTACTCAGTTGATAATTATCTAGTATTATACCAACTAAAAAGTTATTATTTTCAAAAAACAGAACAGAGTTGTAGTTATAAATCTTACTCAATTTGAATTTAAAGAATCCAAAACAACTGAATTTTACAAACTAGTTTATTTTTAGTACAAATTTCTACAAAACTCAATGCAAGATCTACAATAATTTCCTTACCATAATACATGTTATAATAATTATTTTTTAAATTTCACAAAATGCATTTCAAAATCTTACACTCCTTTTCATTTTTTGTGAAATTTCTATAGTTTGGTAAGAATAATACACTAAGATAAACAAGTGAAAGCACAAACAGGAAAACAAAAGCATTAAAAAGATTATTGAGTTTCTTTCTTAATTTAGCTTCAATAGTTTCATTTCAAAGTTTTTTATTCCATTAATTATGTTTAAATTCACACACAAAAAACACCACAGAAAGTATTTAATGTATTAATGCTTTTTGGATAGATTCATTCAAATTTCAGTTAATAACAAAAATTAACATTGTACAATTTTATATTTTATAATCTCAATGTTTTTAAGTAAAACAAACAGCAGGCCTCAAGCGAATTAAATTCAAATACTGAACAAATTCAGTATGCTACATAAACAAACCTCATGAAACCTAATAAATTTGTAAAGCCAAACAACCATTGTATGTAACCAAGGATGGTTATATCATATTTAAGTATGTCTGGAAAGGGAAATGGGACCAGAGGCTTGAGTAGTGTAACTGGCAACACATTCACACAGAAGGCAGGAATTGTGGGTTTGAGTCCTGCTCCAGGCCAATTCTTTACTTCCAGAATATTCTAAATTACTTAATAAATATTAATTTAATTATAATTATTAAATTTAATAAGAAATGGTACCTACCGTGTTTCCCCGAAAATAAGACATCCGCAGAAAATAAGACCTAGCACAGATTTTGCTGAAATGCGAAATATAAGACCTCCCCCTGAAAGTAAGACCTAGTGAAGTTTTTTTTAGTGGTAACGGTCATCGACAGATGGTTGAAAGTGGCCGTTGGCTTTTTGAAAGTACAGCCACTGATTGGCCAACAGACAATCATGCCACACGGCATGATTTGCATAAGACTATGGCTTGGGATCACAGATTTGCATAACATTATGGCTGGTGATGGCTAATTGGTCGGCAGTAAATCACGCCACATGACATTTGCATAGTGCTACGGTTTAGTAAGCACTAATTGGTCGTCGAGTCCGATGTTGACGCTATAAAAAGGCGACAGTTCGACACACCAGATATACGTCACTCTCGTCTAAGTGTGACAGTTAAAGATGTACGAGACAAATTGTTCCAACGAATGTCAATTAAACAATAATTTATTACAACAGGGATTAACAGGTAATACAGAGATGCCCGTCAGAGACAAATACACAGATATACAACAGGTCTCTACTCTCGTCCAGAATCTTACAATTTTTAATTATCACGATATAGGTTCTAATCACTAACTTATAATTAACTTATATCTAACTTAATCTAACACTATACTAATAAGAGGAAAAGGAAGGAAGGAAAGAAAAGGTCTACCGGTAGTTAGCACAGGAGGTCCTGATGGTGGTTTCCGATAATTGCGGGGGTTTTCTCGGCCGACTTTGGTATATTAAACATTCCTAGTATGAAATTTGGCACTTAGTTTTCGTAGACTACTATCTCTCATCAATCAAGTCACTAGTCCTTTTCTCTTCTCTTTGGACTACGCTAAACTTCGCACATTGGGCTGGTTCTTTGTCTTAAG